TATAAACCTTTTATCTTTTCACTGTGAAAATGAACTTCCCCATATATTCTAAGCTATGTATGAAGTGCATTTTGCACAATGGTTGGTTTTTCTCCTCTTGAGTTTCAGTACCATTTGATACTTCACCTTTTGAATCCTCTAATGTAGTGCAATCTGTGAACATTTGTGTCTCGGAATGCACTGGAGTTTGACCACAGTGAACCGCTTTGGACCAAGGAAAGGAAGCAGCTTTGACTGAAAAGAACCTAATTGCATTGTTCAGATGATTTCTGCTAGTATCAGTGGCTGCTGAATCTTAGTGATTTCTTATAATTAAGATGCAAATTAATTAGATCTTCACAAATTCAACCCAATGCCTTAAATTACTGCTTGAGGTTTACTGGAAGCTAGCCTAGTAGTTCTTGGAGCATGTGAATTGCCACCATGAGTTGTAACAACGACCTGTAGCTGCAGTTGAGCTCCTGGGAGAAAGCTATAGTCTTCTACAAAGCTTCCAGGTTTTCTGGTTATAAATACCTTTTCCCTGCAGAAGTGGAATACTAGTACAGTATTGAAGAGTTCATCAAAACTGTAACAAAATCTCATTCCCTTTTCCTGTTTGTATTCAGCTTTTATCTTCCCAAGTAAAAATTATCTTTCCTTGGGGATCTGGGGATTTGATTTTCTCACAAGCTGTATCTGGCATGCATCTCAGTGAGATGTACTTCCTTTGGGCTTCTGTCTCCCTTCATCACAAGAGATGTGGGCTACATGTCACTTGTGTGCTGAAGGCTGTGCAACGTGGGGAATCTGATGGGACTGACTTAGACTTTGGAAATGATAAATCCAGAACTGTGGAAGTTAAAATGCTTTATAAAGGCCTATCTCCAGTGAACAGTGAAGGCTGAGAAAGTTGAGACCAAATTGTGAACCAGAACCTTTATTTCCCATGTTAGGGAATTAAAGAATTTACTCCTTTGAATAGCTGAGCTGTTCTAACTTAATGGCTTTAATTCATACAACCATATTCTCTTGTCTGAGTTTGGTACTACAGCACCAAGTTGTTTGTTGTGGTTATAAGTATGAACTAAATTAGTCATTGAGAATAATTAGACTTCAATAAGCAAAGAAGAGGGCAGGGAAAGAAGATGCCACATGAAGCTTGTAGCTTAGATTTTATGTTGGGGAAAGAAAGCCTTCACTGTGATGACTTGTTTCATTTGACAAAAACAGGCATTAAATACATGCTGAATGATGACAGCCTTATCTCCTTTCCATATACATAGGAATGAGTTTCCCGTTTTTTCTTGCTGCATTTTTTTTTTCTTTGATACATGTTTATCTCCAACCTCAATTTCTCAGAGGAAGTTGAGAAGCTGAACTGTCAAGTCACAGTATATTTGGTATGTGTGTGATATTAACATCTTGCTTTGGACAGCATAGTATCTTAATGCCATGGATTTATGCCCAATGTGAGAAAGGGGCAGAAACCTTTCACTGGGACCATGGCTGCTTAAGAGGTAAATTCTTCTTCTGAGATGCTTGGCTTTCACAAGGAAGCTGAAAATTTAAACAGCACCTGTGTGAGGCAGAGGAGCAGCTGATGTTGCATCTCATGAGAAGAAATTTACTGAAATACTTGTCTCAAGAAATCAAGTTAAAACAACTGTCTTAGCTGGAAAAATCAAGCAGATGGTTCTTTTAGCAAATCTAAAAGGAAACAGAAGAGTCTTAAGTGATCAAGGTAGCTTGAAGTTGTGCATATGACATGCCTAACTTGCATTAACATCAGGAACTAGATAATCTTTAAGGTCCCTTCCAGTCCAAATCGCCCTGTGATTCTGTGACGTTCTGGTATGTGCTATGCCAAGTTCCTCCTGCAAACAACACACAACATCTGTACAACTTGTAAATAAAAGGAAAACGTAATTTGTTTTGTCTCTTTTCATTAATTGTATTACACCTACAGTGCCAAGGAAGTATCCCATTTTGGGCGCCTGTACTTGTCCCTCTATTCTAAAGTTACCATAGTATCGTTTTTTCAAGCAATTAAACTGACACACTATCAAGCAGCAGAATTTCCCCTTTTCATGTGTCAGACTTCTGTGCTGGCAGTTTCTTACCATCCATAGTATTTATGATGGAAAAAGTTTCTGATTTTTTGATAGACTGAACAATCTGTGTTGCTAGCTGATAGGGGAAAAAAAACAAAAGAAAAAATGGCATTAATGGCTTTTGTTCAAGCCTGCTTTGTAATCTCTTTACTAACGCCCTATAAATCTGGGCATATATGGAACAAATCCATAACAACATATAAAAGAGCCTGTTTAAACAGCTAGTGTCTAAGAACTCAAAAGCACTTCTCGAGTGGTATCAATGATGTGTGTGCATGTATAACTTGAAGGAGAATGTGGGTAAGAAGAGAGAAGGTAAATGTCTTCCCCACATGGGCTCTCAGTGAAGAACTCCCACACAGAGCAAGTGGAAGCTTCTGCAGGAAGCATCTGAAAGGTGGGGTGCTTAATTAGTTGATATTATTATTGTTTAGTTAGTAATTTATTTATTTGGTTAACAAGTAGTTTGGAACAACAGGAGAGGCTGTCCTAACAGCTTTCAGTAAAAGTTAAGTTATGATGATGTTAATTCCAGTGACTTTTGGTGTTCTCACAAATAACAAAACTTGACTCCTTGTGCTTCTAAATACGGTATTTCATGAAAATAAACCCTGCTCTTTCTCTTCCCTTTTATTTGTGTTGTCTTCATGTTTGCTAGTGGCATACAACATATCTGCTTGAGATTTTTACGTTCTTGCAGACAGTGGGTATGGCCCATAGTAAAGAAATGTACATCTTCATTGGAAGTACTAAAGAAGTGGATCATAAGTCCAAATTCTTTTTCAACCCAACTATTAACATGGGATTTCTTTGTGATTGTGTTTTTTGTATTTTTAGTGAGCATAAAGATTTGTTACTGATTCTAGTCTGTATGGCTCTGTGGCTGTTCTGAGAACAGAATTGCTTGGTTGGTCTTCTACTGAGACTATCATTTTCAAGACTGTGTGGAGTCATGCATCTACAACTGACAGAAACAGGTGGGCCTTGAAGAGAGTTCTAAGGCAGAGAAACTTCCCAAAGAAATTTAGCCTAAGAGATACGGAGTGTTCACCTTCAGGACACCTTTGAGAAAACAAACTGAATGAAATCTTTAGATGCATGAAAGAAAGTTTGGTTAGGCTGCTTAGTGTTTTCTTAGTTCTTTGCAAGCTACCCACCAACAACATGCTTTTCGTCAAAGTGCATTTTGAGATGCCTACATATGCTATCCAAGTAGCCCCATACTGCTTGCATGTTCTGGGAAGCTCTTTGATCACAGTGTACAATCTAGTACTTTCCTAATCATCATTAGGGATATGTTGGAAGAACTGGAATGTTTTTACACCTTCTCAGATTGTTCAAATGACTATGAAAACTGCTTCTTGTAAATGCTTAACTCAGTTCAAAACTGGTCAGGTTCTAAGACCTCTTGCTGATAACCTCTGTGTGATTTAAAGAATTTTTAACTATAGAATAGTAACTTTCTGCACTTTAACTTACTAAACTAAGGTGTCACATCAAGATGTTTGGAAGAAGAAGAACTATTCAGATCGTAATTCTGCAGTAAGGGTACTGGTTTCTTACAGCAACTGTGTTTTAAAAGAGGTGGTTTAACATTATCACTAGAACATGTGAACTCCCAAGGTCCAAGCCATGTGTTTTGCTGTGGATGAAAGATTTCCCTAGCTTTTATTTATACAGGAAGATGCCATTTGATACTCTGTAGAAGACAGTCTAGAAAACTTCACTTTGCCTTTAGAATTAAGCCTATAAAGTAAAGGATGTTGCCAAGCAAAGTTTTTTCTGTAACAGGTTTTAGAAAACCGCAGAATATTCCATTCTGGAAAGAACATCTAATGGGATTTAACTGAGATAAAGGAAAATTTCTAAACTTTAAAGATGTGCCAAAATCATTACTGTTTTCTGAGAACCATAAAATGGATGCCTCTATGAATCTTTAAAAGTAGTAAAATTCATTTTGTGTTAAGAGGGACTGTTAATATACAGGTATTCTGCCGAGTTTCTGGAAGTAGTGAATCCAGGGCTGTGACTTATTTTTAGATGCTACCTGAAATTATGAAGCTTCCTTGACTTTACAGGAAAAAAAATCTGATTTCAAATAGAGTTAACTTTTTTAGATCTAGAAACCAGTTACTTACTTCTGGTTTAATAACATGCCACTTGTTTTATGTACAGTTTCTAGTTATGGAAAAGATGCCATTACTGACTTAAGCCTAGTGATAACAGAAATGCATTCCTGAGGGTTTCTTATGTAGATTATCTGAAAACACCCTGAGGATTCCCAGGAGATTGTTGCCTCATTGCCCAGCTTATCAGATTCCCTATGGATATGTTGTTCAGTTACAGGCAGAAAGTAAGCAAGAAAATCGTAATAATGAATTTATGGCAAAGTAGTATGTCTGTTACTGCTAATTTCTTCTCCTTCAAAGTCCATCTCTACTGTCTTTACATGTTAAATACGCAACAGCTCTGCAGCAACAGAAAGGCGAATAAGTAAAGTTCCACTCCAAATTTAACCTGACACGTTATGAATGGCAGTTTTCTCTCAACAAACCCTTACTGGAGATCTTCCTGCAGTTTTTCACATTCAGTATGTGTTACCAGTTTACTTTGTGACTGTATTTGCTTACACCTGGTGAAGATGTAGGGATAAAGTTGGAATTACTGGATTTTTTTCTAGTAGAGGCAGTCTGTGTGACTTAAGTGGCGTTTCTTGGAAGGTCTAATGTGGAGAAACAACTTGGAAGACAACATTTCAGAACACCAGAATACTTCTGTGGAGTTTTGAAATCTGTAGGTCATTTTGGTTTCTACTCTGAATTTCTGTTCTTGAGCTCTACTGCTACACAGCTGTAAAACACAGATGTTAAGTACTGAGAAGCACACTGAGTGGGGAAAATGTGTGGCAGACATGGTCTTGAATTTTCTAAAGGATTGCAAAGTCTACTTGCTCAAGCAAGCAACCTGTCGTCCTGTTCTTGGTAATGTGGCATGTCTTACTACTTGTCTTTCCCTCATGCTATTGTTAGGCTGGGTTGGAAAGCACTCTAAATATGAAAAGCAATAGATGGTCAGGCCAGGCTCACAGATTAGGAGTTCTGAAAGCACGTTTGGGTACAACAACCTTAAAAGCCCGTTTAAAAAGGGTCCATTGATCTTTTACTTTCAATGTGAAACGTTATTGCTCTTGTCACACATTTTCAAAATCCAATAAAATATTAAAATTCCCATTGCCTACACTCCTTCTCATCATTGTCTCTTAGTGAGAATCTGTATCACACAGAAGAAAAAATATCTACATAACTCAATCTTTTAAATACAGGAATCAAGAAGGAAGACTATTTCTTTGTATGTTTTCTCTGCGCTTTTGGAGGACAGTGTTCAAATATCACACTCAAAATTACTATGTTCCCAATATTAACAGTAAAGCCTCTTTGCCAAGGAATGAGCGACTAAATGCATGTATAAGTACATCTGTTAAATCCAAAGTAACTGTAGCTCTTCTGTTCAACTTTGCTAACTTCATCTATATGGTATGAAACCACTGATAAAGCATATTATCTGTTCACATTGACTTTTTCAGGCTCCATTAAGTTACTGGAGTGCAATATTTCTATAAATACGAGATCTCTGCAGTCACAGACTGCAGGCTTTTTTAGCCTTTCCAAATCTCAAGCCAAAAATAAGCTGGGGAAACAGATGGGAAAGTGGGAAGCTGGAATTACTATATGAGCAAAGTGAAAGCTCTTGGGTAATCTTAACTGCAGATTTTCATGCTTTCAAGTACTTCTTTTGAAAATGAAATTTCTATTTCTAATACCATTCATTTATATCTAGACCGTTCTTATGGTTTTGTACTTGCAACCTTGATGTTGGAAGGTTTTTATGTTTTGGGGTCTGTAGATTTGATGATGTTAAAGGACAATCAAATGCCTATTCTTGATCATACTAAGATTTATAAATCTGTCATCTGTCATTAATGAAACTGCTTGCTTCTGCTTTTGCCAGTAGATGATTATAATAGTTGAGCTATAAAGAGCAGACAAAAGGGGGGTTTAATTAATAAAAGCAGAGTGAGGGACAGAAACCTGTGTTCCTTTTAACCTGATCCTACATTCTATTTACAGTACTTGTTTGTGCTTTTTGTCTTTGTTAGTGACAAAAAAGTTATCTTTATATTTATTTTGCTCTATTAAAAATTACAGGAGTAAACTTGGTGTCATCTTCTAGGCTTGTATATTCATCTGATAAAAATCTCAAAGAAGCTGAGGAGCCAGCTATGATTAAAAAAGTACTGGAACCCAAATTAGTACAGGAAGACAACACTGCTACACTTCAGAACACTCAAACAAATGCAAGTTGCCTTGGAGACAGCATAAAACCACCTGTTGATCAGGATGCTTCAAGTGGAGCTGGGCAGAAAGAAGTTGCTTCTTCACCTTGTATTGAACAGGAACTTCCAGCAGTAGTCAGTGATGCAGAAAGCAACAAAGCCACTGCAGGTAGGTTTGGAGTTATGCTTTTGTTTGTTTATTTTGGGTTTTGTCGGTTTGGGGTTTTTCTTCTTTCAAGTAATTATTCAAAAATTTACACAGTTGTAAAAATGCAGGCAAAAATTGAAGCTGGCATGGATGTTCTTTGTGATGGTCTACCTTATTCTCTCACGCCTTAAAGAGATGCATTGCTGCAGAGGTTTGGCAAGAGTAGTTCTCAGCCAGTGTGTGGCATTAACAAATCTGAAAGGACTTCTCAGGCATTGGCCATGTTCATTGGCATTTATCTCCTTTCTTTTTCTCTGTAATACAGCAAACTTGAGTCCTCACCATGTGGGACTTCCACAGAGCAGAACCTCTCCTTTCTTTTCCTTTTCTAGCAAATTACACTAGTTCCACTGTTTTTTCATGAGGATTTTGGAAGCTTTCAGAATCTTTCCCACTATGACTGAATGAAAAATTAACCCAAGGAAATGTGTACCTGCATCTATACCAGAGGTGTTTGATGCTACAGCTGTGTCAGTAAGACAGGATCAAGCAACAGTTCTGTTCAAGCAGAAGTCTGTAGCATTACATGACCCTGAACTTCTTCAGAGTCTACTTTTCTTTACTGAGTGGTAACAGATCCTCAGAAGAAATGAACTGGCTACATAATCTTACGAAAGAGTAATGACAGCATTTCTATAGAAATCAAATATGAATCACTGGACAAGTTTCTGATAGTTCAAGTCAAACTGAGAACTAAAATGCATGGTCTGGAAAACCCTTCAAGGAAAGTTCTAGCTTGAATATGCAATATTGAAAAAAAAAAAAATTGTCAGATTCTTCTTTTCCAACACTTTGTCTGTGTACTGCCAAAAGTCTGCTCCAGACAAAGTGAAAAAAGCTATTTCTCTCCATCTGCAGGTAATTCCAAACTAGAAACTGCATCTGTGTTAGGCGAAGACTTAATGATGCTCTACAAGAAGTGCTGTTGCCCAGATATTAATATTTGCGTAGAAGGCAAAGAGTTTCAAGCTCACAGGTACATAAGTATTTACAGTAAAGTTTTTCAAGCAAAATCCTTCCAGTATCAAACACTGCTGGTACTGTATATTTATAGAAAGTTATTGCTGGTGCTGTTATCTAGCTGTGAACTGTTACAGGATTTAGGTCTCATGTGAGAAGTGGCCATAGTTTGATACTAATGAAAACTATTTATCTCATTAACTGCAACTACTGTGAAAACAACTGTGCTTTTAGGACTTGTAAGATTGCCATTGTAAGCTCATATAATGAATAGTGAGGCACTGGAATAGGCTACCCAAGGATGTTGTAAATGCCCCATCCCTGGCAGTGTTCAAGGCCAGGCTGGATGGGGCTTGGAGCAACCAAGGTGGTCTAGTGGAAGGTGTCCGCCCATGGCAGGCGGTTGGAACTGGAAGGTCCTTTCCAAACCGAACCATTCTATATACTTAGGTATAAATACTGGGTAGGTTTTGGCTAACCTGTTCTTAAATAATCCATGCTCTCGAAAGAATGAAAAATCAGCTTTTAATGCTGAATATTCAACTATAAATACTGAATAAATTACAATGCAGGTAGAAAGTTTCTGTGGCAGTAATTGTATTTTTTTCTGTTCCTTACAATCTGTGCATACAGAATCTGATTTTACTTTCATTATTTCAGTTATGTGGGTGTAAAGATTGTCAGGAGTCCCTGTAAGATCTAAAGTCCAAGATCAATTAAAAACTTTGGCTTATTGGACTTCTCTATCTTAGGAAAGCAAATTAAAGTGTCAGTACCATTCCTTGTATCTTTGATATGAGTCTGTTTGCATTTGAGATAGCAAACTAGAGAGCAGATTAGACAGCCTGTATTTTGTTCCCTTTGAGTATATAACTGACTAGGAGAGATTGTAAAAAATTTCCCTTCTTTTGGTATTTTCTAAACACAAACCAATGTTTTGGGGGGGGGTTATTACTGACATGAAAAATACCTTTATAGAAGATAAGTCATAATAGTGTGTGTGGTGTTTTAATTCTTAAGTAATAGAATTAGGATTATGTACTAAATCTCTAGAATGTAGTGTAGCCAGGCATAGAATCATAGAATAATTAGGGTTGGAAACGACTTTAAGATCATCTAGTTCCAACCCCCCTGCTGTGGGCAGGGACACCTTACGCTAAACCATATCACCCAAGGCCTCGTCCAGCGTGGTCTTGAACACTGCCAGGGATGGAGCATTCACAACCTCCCTGGGCAACCTGTTCCAGTCCCTCACCACCCTAACAGGAAAGAATTTCCTCCTTATATCCAACCTAAACTTCCCCTGTTTAAGTTTTAACCCATTACCCCTTGTCCTATCACTACAGTCTCTAATGAAGAGTCCCTCTCCAGCACCCCTATAGGCCCCCTTCAGATACTGGAAGGCTGCTATGAGGTCTCCATGCAGCCTTCTCTTCTCCAGGCTAAAGAGCCCAAACTTCCTCAGCCTGTCTTCATACGGGAGGTGCTCCAGTCCCCTGATCATCCTCGTGGCCCTTCTCTGGACTTGTTCCAACAGTTCCATGTCCTTTTTATGTTGAGGACACCAGAACTACACACAATACTCCAGGTGAGGTCTCACAAGAGCAGAGTAGAGGGGCAGGATCACCTCCTTCGACCTGCTGGTCATGCTCCTTTTGATGCAGCCCAGGATACGGTTGGCTTTCTGGGCTGCAAGCACACACTGCCGGCCCATGTTCATTTTCTCATCAACCAGCACCCCCAAGTCCTTCTCCACAGGGCTGCTCTGAATCTCTTCTCTGCCCAACCTGTAGCTGTGCCTGGGATTGCTCCGACCCAGGTGTAGGACCTTGAACTCGGCATGGTTAAAAACTTCATGAGGTTGGCATCAGCCCACCTCACAAGTGTGTCGAGGTCCCTCTGGATGGCATTCCTTCCCTCCTGCGTTATCAACCGAACCACACAGCTTGGTGTCATCGGCAAACTTGCTGAGGGCGCACTCAATCCCACTGTCCATGTCAGCGACGAAGATGTTAAACAAGACCGGTCCCAACACTGATCCCTGAGGGACACCACTCGTTACTGGTCTCCAGCTGGACATTGAGCCATTGAGCACAACTCTTTGTGTGCAGCCATCCAGCCAGTTCTTTATCCACCGAGTGGTCCATCCATCAAATTGATGTCTCTCCAATTTAGAGACAAGGATGTTGTGTGGGACAGTGTCAAAAGCTTTACACAAGCCCAGGTAGATGACATCAACTGCTCTACCCCTGTCCATCAGTTCTGTTTGCTTCTTCCACTCTACGCTATTATAAGACATGTTCTCAGTCTACACTAGTATAAGACATGTTCTCAGGCTCATAACTTAGAGAAACGAATACTTTAATGCAAAAAGGAAGTCAACAGATTCCATCAGCAGAGCTTCTTTAATTTAAGCCACTTAGTGCCTGGAGCAATGTATCTAGTCTAACCAGCATCAAAAGTATGGCAGTACATCAGAGAAAACAAGGATGCTCTTGAACGAGCACAGAACTTGCTGGTGTTAGTACTGCATCATGTGAATGG